GGTATCCGGACAGCAATCATAGAGGATCTCCAATTTTCAACTGCCGTGTTTGTATATGGAACCACTCTCCATCTTCCTGATGAGCTTATCTCTCCTCTTTTGTCCTTACTCCTTCTGATGACTCTGATTACATCACAAGACTTCGCTCTTTTATGGCTCAGTTAAAAGCCACACCTCCTCATACTCCTGGTGAACATCAAACCTTCATTCATCTCTCTCTCTCTACATCTACTCATGTTTTTGTTAGACGGGATTCAGTTAAACGACCATTACAATGTCCGTACGATGGTCCATACAAAGTTCTTAATGGTACTGACAAGTATTTCACTATAGACCTTCAGGGTAACATGACAACGTCAGTATCGATCGATTAAAACCAGTTTATTTTGAGTGTCCTAATTTCGTGTCCTCTCATCATAACTCATCTACTCATTCTCCCACTGCTCTTTCTTCCTCAGACACTACACGCTTGGACACCAACGTTACTTGTACAGGTCGGTATGTCAGGTTCTCCCAACGACTCAATCTATAGACTGGTATGTCAATTTACTATCATTATTATTGTTATAATAATTGTTATTATTATTATTGTTATTATTAATTATTACTATTATTATTATGACCATTAAGGTTTGCAATCATTGAAAGAGAATATTTATATATTATTATTATTAATATTATTATTATTACTATTATTATTGTTGCTGTTACCATTATCCTTATTGTTACACTTGCTTCTCTAATTTTCTCCTCTTTATTTTTCACTTTGCTATTAATTACATACTATCCTTATGTTTCAATTTTTCCTATTCTTGTTTCTCAACTTTGTCTTTCTCTTCCTTTCTTTTTGTATTTCTTTTTTTTTATCGCTCGCCTCCTCTCTGGGGGGAGTAATGTAGTAGATGCCATGTGCTTATGAGCATCAGAGACACATGTTCATGAATTTTGATTGTCCTTTAGTCTTCTCTATTTCTCTATTCTCTATCCCTCTTGATCTTTATCTGTGATAACATTTCCATTATAAAATATATTCATTGAGATCCTCACTCTTAGCACATTATTTCTTTTAAGGGAAGGTAAAGCTGGATCCAATACATGCCTAAGAAGCCACATAAATGGGGCATAAAGGCTTGTGCCTTGGCAAACTCCAGCAAGGGGTATCTATCCAACTTTAGAATATATACAGGTTAGTAAATATTATTAATCCCTCATTTTATATTCTGTACCCAGGCAAGACAGTTGGTGCTACAAAGAAAGGCCTATGCTACATGGTAGTCACAGATCTCGTCACTCCATACAGGAATGAGGGATACCATGTATACATGGACAACTTTTATACCTCATCTGACTTATATATGGAGTTGAAGAGGACAGGTTTTCAGGCCTGTGGCACCATCAAAGTAAACGGAAGAGGAGTGAGTGATACCTTCAGAAGAATAAATTTATTAGCAGGTATCTTAAAAACAAAAAAAAATAATTTTACTAATACTTTGTAGGTGAAGTATACAGTGAGACTATTGATGGCAATCTATTATGCTTGAAATGGAAAGACAAGAGGGAAGAATGTGTGCTGTCTACCTTTCATGACCAATAGATGATAGAGAAGACCAGAAAAAGAAAGAACATACGAGGAACAGAGACGATTAAGAAGCCAAGAGTTGTGGAAGACTACAACCAGCATATGAATGGCGTAGACCTCTCAGATCAGATGGTGCTCTATTATGGATATGGACACAGGTAAAAAAGAAATAAATAAAAGTTAATTACTTTTTTTAACAGAGCAGTGAAGTGGTGGAAGAGACCATTTTTTCATTTTATTGATTTGGAACTAGTAAATGCCAACATATTGTATAATGAAGGGACCTGGAAGCCATTACCTCACATAAAGTTTCGAATTGCCATAGTAAAGGGACTTCTTAAAGGCCACACCTACTCCTCTAGGTGGTCTAGCTGACATTGAGCTGCCTTTCCGGAAAAGATTCCGAAGAAGACACAGTATGGAGGCCTTTTGTATGCCGTGCTCGTGGGAAACGGAGCCAAACTAGGTATTGGTGCAAGACATGCTTAGCACCACTTCATGTGGAGGACTACTTTGAAGCATACCATACTAAAATAGATTATTCGAACTAATAAACTAAGTTTTAGTGTACTTTCATGTAGTAATTACTATTTAGTAGATAATGTATATGCAGTAATGTATAAAGTAAAATGTATTCTAGCTAATTACGGTAACTAACTTATTGCTTTCTGCCTCTGGTCTTGTTTTAGTTCTAAATACCCAATCCTTTCTCATCTTAAATGTGACAACCCTTCATTTCTTAATGCTTTCTGCCTCCATTCTCAGTACCCACTTCTTTCTCATCGTCACAACTCTTCACTTGTTCTTTCCTTCAATATGGATTGTTTGCAGTATTACACAAAACTAAAAAGAGAGGATAAAAAGATACAAAAAGAAATGGAAGGTGATAGAATGCAGTACAAACTTACATGCCTCTAAATGTGAGTGATGGAGTCGTGACTTAACAATCTTGACGTTTTGACAAAGTCAGTATAGTCTAATCCATAAAGAATAGCTGCATGGAGCCTAGGTAAGGCTTAGATGAAATCTAAGAAGGCAGACAAAGATATAGCTGCAAATGAAACAATTTACATCCATTTGACTCATAATCACGCTTCACGCAACA